GGGCCCGATGGGGGGCTCCGACACCCGAGGGGGGGCTCCCATGCCGGCGGTGGGGCTCTGATCCCCGACAAGGGGCTGATGTGGGGCTCTGACACCCGAGGGGGAGCTCTGACACCCAAAGTGGGGTTGATGTGGGGCTCTGATGCCCCGAGGTGGGGCTCTGATCCCCAACGTGGGGCTGATGTGGGGCTCTGACACCCGAGGGGGAGCTCTGACACCCAAAGTGGGGTTGATGTGGGGCTCTGATGCCCCGAGGTGGGGCTCTGATCCCCAACGTGGGGCTGATGTGGGGCTCTGACACCCGAGGGGGAGCTCTGACACCCAAAGTGGGGTTGATGTGGGGCTCTGATGCCCCGAGGTGGGGCTCTGATCCCCAACGTGGGGCTGATGTGGGGCTCTGACACCCGAGGGGGAGCTCTGACACCCAAAGTGGGGTTGATGTGGGGCTCTGATGCCCCGAGGTGGGGCTCTGATCCCCAACGTGGGGCTGATGTGGGGCTCTGACACCCGAGGGGGAGCTCTGACACCCAAAGTGGGGTTGATGTGGGGCTCTGATGCCCCGAGGTGGGGCTCTGATCCCCAACGTGGGGCTGATGTGGGGCTCTGACATCCGAGGTGGGGCTCTGATACCCAAAATGGGGCTGATGTGGGGCTCTGACATCCAAGGTGGGGCTCTGACCCCCGACGTGGGGCTCCCATACCGGCGGCGGGGCTCTGATGCCCCCGATGTGGGGCTGATGTGGGGCTCTGACACCCGAGGTGGGGCTCTGACACCCAAACTGGGGCTGATGTGGGGCTCTGAGGGGGGGGACCTTTTTTGTTCCACTGGTGCAAACCCAAGCCGGGGAGTGGTGGGGGCACCCCCATGCCATGCCCCCCAGCGGGCAGCGATGCCCGGCGTGGGACCAGGGGTCCCCGATATGGGGCAACGATGCCCGCCCTGTGATACCTGGTGTGGGGCTCTGGGACCCGGTGACGGATATGGGGCTGCCATGGGGCTGAGATCTGCAGCGATGGGGTCCAATGCCCAATGCAGGCCCCCCCGATGCCCAATATGGGGCTGATGTGGGGCTCTGGGCACCCAGTGCTGGGCTCTGATACCTGACGTGGGGCTGATGTGGGGCTCCAACACCCCGAGGTGGGGCTCCAATACCCGACGCGGGGCTGCGGTACCCGGTGATGGCTAAGGGGCTGATGTGGGGCTCTGACACCCGAGGGGGGGCTCTGACACCCAAAGTGGGGCTGATGTGGGGCTCTGATGCCCCGAGGTGGGGCTCTGATCCCCAACGTGGGGCTGATGTGGGGCTCTGACATCCGAGGTGGGGCTCTGATACCCAAAATGGGGCTGATGTGGGGCTCTGACATCCAAGGTGGGGCTCTGACCCCCGACGTGGGGCTCCCATACCGGCGGCGGGGCTCTGATGCCCCCGATGTGGGGCTGATGTGGGGCTCTGACACCCGAGGTGGGGCTCTGACACCCAAATTGGGGTTGATGTGGGGCTCCAACGCCCCGAGGTGGGGCTCTGATCCCTGACGTGGGGCTGATATGGGGCTCTTACACCCGAGGTGGGGCTCTGACCCCCGACGTGGGGCTGATGTGGGGCTCCGACACCAGAGGTGGGGCTCCCATACCGGCGGTGGGGCTCTGATCCCCGACGTGGGGCTGATGTGGGGCTCTGACACCCGAGGGGGGGCTCTGACCCCCAAAACAGGGCTCATGTGGGTCTCCAACACCCGAGGTGGAGCTCCCATATCGGCAGTGGGGCTGATGTGGGGCTCTGGAAACCCGAGGTGGGGCTCTCACCCCCGACGTGGGGCTGATGTGGGGCTCTGACACCCGAGGTGGGGCTCTGATCCCCCCCGACGTGGGGCTGATGTGGGGCTCCGACACCCGAGGTGGGGCTCTGATACCCAAACTGGAGCTGATGTGGGGCTCTGACACCCGAGGTGGGGCTCTGACCCCCAAAACGGGGCTCATCTGGGTCTCCAACACCCGTGGTGGGGGCTCCGATTCCCCCGACGTGGGGGCTCTGACACCCGAGGTGGGGCTCTGACCCCCAAAACGGGGCTGATATGGGTCTCCAACACCCGAGGTGGGGGCTCCGATCCCCCCGACGTGGGGCTGATGTGGGGCTCCGCCACCC